CAAAAAAAATATATATATATATATATATGTGTGTGTGTGTGTGTATATTCATACTTGTGGGCCTGTAGGTAGTAGCAATGGGCTGTATATTGGTCAAACATGCTTGCCCTTTCAGCCATTGGGGCGTTATAATGTCATGGGCAATCCCACTATTTATTGGTAAAAGAGTAGCCCAAGAGTTGGCGGTGGGTGGTGATGACTTCCCTCTAGTCTTTCACTGCTAAGTTGAGGATGGATAGCACAGATAGCCTCGTGTAGCTTTGGGTAAAATTAAAAAATAAACAAAAAATAAGTATATTGATATTTATGATAATAGTTATTTTCAAATAGAATATTATTTATCACTTCAAAGTCGATTATCATAATTATAGTTATCTTTGCATATGCTGTAGAATGTGTGTATTAATTTCAATGATTTTACTTCTGTGTTGTACTAACTTGAATCATTTTGTAAGCATAACCAACATCTATTCTTGAGTGAGACATGAACCACAGCTCTTGAGAACACATGGTTTGGACACAAAAATGTGATGTCTTACAGTGGAGGTCAAGCACCTGTCCCATAAATTGTGTTTTACATACTAAAAACTGTGATAATCTTCTGATTTTAAACCTTATTTCTGGATCAAAATAATTGTTTGTTCTGAAATGTTCCTAACTTTAATAGCATAAAATAGTTTCAAGCATACAGAATTTCCATTAATATACCATATTCACAAACAAGCTTTTACTACAGTTCTTCTTATTGAACAAATTTCTAGATACAAAAAATAAACTGTTGTGCCAATAAAATGATACAGTACAAGTGACATCTTGCATCTGGTATTTCTAAAGTTACTGTTAACTTCAACAAATCAATTAATGTGTGTTTAACAGAAGAAACGTATTATTTTAAACTTACAGTGCTTTATAGTGGCCAGTACTATAGCTATAGTTATTTGTTCTAACAAGGCATTAATGCTAGGATTTGAAATGTTTTGATAATTTAAATTTTTTAATTCAAATGGTAGTAAAACACAAAAACAGATTTGCAATAATTAAACTTCGATACAAAATTGTTGGTGTTTTAAAGACACATTTTATGCTAATATAGTCTCAGATTTTGTTACTTAGGGCTTTCAAAATTGTAGCTTCTCTCTTTGATTATTTTACTATTTGATCACTGTTAGTTTTTGTGTAGTTATTCAAAAGTATCTTGGCCATTTTATTGGCTTTCTGAAAGTATTTTAATTACACTCTAGTCTTTCACTACAATACTAATAATACCAAACAGTGGGAACTGTATCGTCAAGAGCTGTGGAATCAAATGGTTAATTATTGGCCTCTGTTAGAAACTTTTTTGAAGTGTGAAGTTTCAGTGTTCAGACCAAGTTTTATCAAGGGTTGTGTTTGAATCTGTCACTGGTCACTTATTCATCATGTGAAAGTTTATTTAAAAAAAGTAGAATTTAAATATATATGTGATGGATTGCATATAATTTGGTTGGATGATGGTAAATTAACCCTCTAGTGTGATCGTAATGATATTAAGAAACCTTATAGGTGAACAGTGATGAGGGAAGACTTCACTCTTGAATAGCTCAATAGTAGTCTAGCTTTGTTATCTGGTTGTCCTGGGTTCAAGTCATCGACCTAGAATCCATTTGTTTTTACTTATCAGTTTTGTCATGTAAAAGTTTATGTTAAAAGTTGTTCTTTATTGTTAAAAATCTCTGCCACATATCTTGTTGCATTTACAAAATGTTCCAACTTTCTGGTGGAAAATTATTCATCAAAAATTAAAATACATAAAACTAATATATATATATTTAGACAGAGAGAGAGAGAGATAGTAGTAGATAAACTTAAAACTTGTTTTGTGAATGTAATATGTCATTTAAAATTTATGCATCAATTCCAAACAATTTATGGTATTCACAATTAAGGAATGTTATACAATTGATTTTATAGATTGTGTACATGTAAAAGAAGTGACCATTACCATAACAACCAGTATCAGTTGGCAAGAAATTTGCTTATTCAACTTTACGTTAAAATCAGTATCCTTGTACAAGTTAGACAACTTTAGTGTGAGTTTAGATTTTGTTCAGATAGATTGTCTATGTGGCAACAGGGATTTTTACATTGACCATAAAAATGATTAAAGCTGAAACTAGATTAAATGCTATAAATGAAAGTTATGCCAGTGATTTGGAATAATATAAGAACCTATTTAAATATGCCCTTTGCAGTAAAAGTTGTGTGTGTTGCATAAATTTCCTTTTGTTTCAGACCTGGAGATGTATTAAAATGCATTGGGACACAACCGTACTGGGTTGCATGCTAGGCCATTAAAATATATTACTGTTAAAAGCTTTTGTAGAACTTCAAAAGTAAATTGTGAAACATCAGTCTGAAACAAACTTGTATCATTACAACCAATGTTCAGTATACATTTTGTGCAGAAATACTTAATTTGTGTATTAACTTTTTGTTTTTGTTATGTCAATAAATAATCAAACTCCTCTCTTTTATAAAAAGGCATAGCCAATTAGGTTTAACTTAGTACTTTTCCTTGTTTTTGTCTTACATTCTAAGTTATTGCAATATATATGATAATTATGTAATGATGATGTTGTGGGAACAATTTTTCTTGTCACTCATCAATTTGTATTTGTGAGATGTTAAAAAAAAGTTGGTTTATATTATCTTAGATTCATATTTTTATAATTTCATAGCTGTTTTTCTTTTGTTTTTAAGCCAAATTTTAGAAACTATAAAAAAGGGAATTCCACAACCCAGCAGCCTACAATTATTTAGTCTAGATGATTTGTGTCCATCAGTTCGAGAAATTAATTATAGTTACATTAAACTTCAAGGAATCTGTAAACCAGGTAAGTTTTTGTTTGGTTTGATGATTTGGTCATAATTTTGCTACTGAATAGATATGTTCAACTTAAATATAGCAGAGGTGTGTGTTTGAAAGTATGAACATTTATGTAACCTTGTTGTAGATTAAATGTATCTATACATGTGTATTTTCATATGAATATTCCTCTTTAGGTCATATCCACTAAGTGTGAATGAATACTACCATGATAAGTTAAACATTTAACTCAGTTTTTACTCCTTTTGTTTGTGGACTCCATAAATATTGTATTTATATTTTCCTTTATATCCGTCCTCCTTTGCATTTCTACAAGTTTTGTGTTGGATTTAAGGTTTTCTCTGTCAGATAGTGCCGATTGCACTAATATGGTTTGTTCAGCCTCAGTTTTCTCCACTCCATCAGATGACCTGCCCTTTTTCCTTCATGGCTATCCATGCTATAATATTTCTCTGTTTTGCTTTCCTGGTATATTCTCTTTTACCTTCTTAGTATGTTTTTATTGGTTCCATATTCATGGAGTAACATTTTAAGTGTCATCTACAAGCTCATTCCTGCCATCTTTCACTGTTTCAGTTTATCAATGAAAATGGTGGCTCTTTCAACGGTGGTGCAGGTGCCAATCATTTCTGGTTTGAGTGTTTCACAAGTTTATTTTTGTACAAAGGTTTGACCTTTTCTGCTGTATCTAGTATCAGGCATTTCTCTCATCTACATTTCATCTTTTGCATCATGCTCTTCCTCTACTGGATTTTTTTCTATTGTTATTGGTGACGACCTTTGGTCAGAACCCTTCCATATTAGAATGCTGCTTTGATCTCACTGGTTCCAAGCCTTAAGCTTGTGATCTTTTTTCTTTACATCAAAATACATATTCTTGCTTTTTTATGTCAGAACATCATAATTGAAATACTTATGCTGTCACTGAGTCATGTACTATTGTGTCTCGGAATCTATCATTTTTTTGTCTTAATCATTCCTTTCTTCTAAAACTTGGACTGCTTGAGAGGGTGATAAAATGTTTTCACTTATCATCTGTCCTTCCTTTTCTTATTTGTGTGCAAAACTTATTTGAATGTAAATCAGCTTCTGTTCCAGGTGTTATCCTATTTGTACCAAATTCTTTCATAACAGCTTCTTTCCCTATAGCTTCATAAGTTGACTCAGGATCCCTTTCAGACAAGTCTTTTTCTAGTTTAGAGGAGTATGTGCAGAATATGTTTTTGGTCACCTGTTAAAAGATTCAACATTTTTCTTGCTACTGTTTTGGTGGAGTTTGAGTGCCAGCATATTATTATTCTTCCACTATATTATTCTGTTTTACTTACACAGTGTTGCTCATTTTTTACTTTGATATGATTGGCTGAATTGCACTGTGAGACTTTTGCCCTTAGAACTGAGTGTTACCATGATGGGGATATGTTTTATGCAGCCTAGAAGGTTGCATCCTTGCTCTTGTGAGGCCAGACCCTGACTTCTTGTCATTATGATAAATATCATTTGAATCCATTGCACTGTTTCTTTGGTTTGTATGGCCTGCTGTCTCTTGCTATCATTGTTCAATCTGGCCTAGTCTCTGGACACTTCAACTTATTCCTTTTCTGTTTACACTGTAAATGTGCCTTGCCCTCTGTCCTCAGCATGTTTATATGACAGTTCATAGACACCTTTACACCTTCAATCTGATGTCCATTTTACAACACTACACCTAGTTCACATTATAACCTTCATTGCAGTTTAATGACTCAAGCATGGCATATACCCTCTGTGAGTTATATATTTATCTTGTGTAAAATCTGTTCTTTGCTTCCTGTTCACTTTCAGTGTGGGGATTCTAGGTGCCTGTCCATCCTGTGATATAGTAACTTGCATGGAATCTACATTTTTAAACATAAGTTGGCATTAATGTTAATATTTTACTCCTTCTCAAAGTCTCAGCTTCACTGAGTAGAAATGGGTGTAATCTAAAACTCTTCCCATCCTCAGAAAGAACATAAAAAAGCTAATTAATTCAAGATCTTAAAACTAAGTATTCAGAACTTACTATGTAGCTAAATTTCCTGACCTCAGTTCTTAGAACCATTTCAAATTATGCATTATGTTTGTAACATTCCAAACATACATCTTCCTGTTTATTTTTGAATAAAAATATTAAACATGAACTGCAAAATTGTTGCATAAAACATTTATATAGTGAAGGACAGAGGTCAAATATTGTAGTTATGTTTATGTAAGAGATTACCTCCACTGTAAACATAATTATCAGAAGGGCTTTGTGTTCATGGGTGTTTGAAATGTTAAAAATGTTTTAATTGTATATATAAAATACATGTATTTGTTATTTAAATGAAAGAAAAATATGCTTCATTAATATATTTTTTGTTTAACAGAAAGTGACCGTGTTTGATTCATTGATATACTGAAAAACTAAAATAAACATTTTATACTTGTGAACTGTTTAGATAAGTGAAAGGTTACTGTGATGTTTTATAAGTATCACACGTAACTGAACTGTAAAAATGTAAGAGTAAATACTTCGGTAATTATAATTTTTAATTTTAACACAAAATTTAACAGTTACTTGAGTATATGTATTGTTAAACTACTACTGATAAAATTAGTTCTGCCATCAGATTTGTGTGTTAAAAGTTGTATTATATTTCTTTGTTTTCACCGATTCAAAATAAACAATAATGCTATTGTCTTACCAGTAGTTATGATAGTTGTGAGTTACTCTTAGATTCTAAGGCCCAAACCTGCTTTGTTTTGGTTAAGTTCATTTCTATATTCCTTTTTTTTTGAACATTAAAAAAATAACAACATCCTTTGATTAATAGACTTGTCTTCTATATTAAACAAATTTAGGCCATTTTTGTAAAACAGAAAGAATTTGGATTGTGATTGGTATTTATAAATGTTTAACAAAAAATAATGTATTAGAAATATTACAACACTGAAAGTCATATATGCAATATTGTACATTTTTCCAAATTAAATACAGACCTATCTGATACACTAAATTAATGCAGTAATGTCGCTAATGGATAATTAAATAACGGCTTTTCATTAACTAATACTAGATTTTGAATAATGAAATGTTGACACTTAGGTGTTCATAATGTCTGTGTATGCAATAATATTGAACCTTATGTAGCTATTTTTTGTGTTTTAAAATTAGTTTTTCCAAGTTAGGAATTAAACATGTACAAAAGAGTATGTTTAAACTTCTGGAATGTGATGTGTTATTGATAACATGTTCAGAGAAGTATGTTGTAATTCTTAACACATTCTGAAAGATTCAGCATATTATTACTATAAAATAAAACTACTAACGTAGCAAACAATGTATAATATTATTGTATAATAGTTGTGCTACTTTAGACTATGAAAGTAAAAAACTTAGTGCAAAAAAAGATAATTCAATAAATTACAAATGTTCCATAATATGTCATAACTGTTATTACAATCAGTTTCTCTCCTTAAGTCTTCCCAGTGTTTCGTGAGTTTATTTAAGGGAAATTTATTGTAGAATGTAAGTTTTAATCTGTGGTGATAATCTAAACACACAAGTAAAATAACTATGCCAAACTTCATCAATTAGTAGGATATTAGGTTTTATAAATATGTTTATTACTTGGTGATAAAGATATTTCATTTTTCATAATAATGCATTTTCAGAAATTTATGAATTTGTAGCTGGAAGTGTCAGCATATCAACACTTAGTTCTATCTATGAAAGGAGATTCTTAGTCCACATTTTCTGTCTGCTTTTTTTTTTGTTTGTTTCTATCATGGACTTTTTCAATGAAAGGTGATAAATAGGCATTATCTGATAGTGAAAGCCTTATACATAAATATACACTATATGTATTAAAAAAGTCAGGATAATTAGCAGTTGAGGTTTGGTGCATTACTGTTATAACCAAATAAATAATATTTAAAGTAGCAACACTGTTTTTTGAGGTTTTGTGACAAGGGAATACTGTGTATGCATTTTTCAAAAGCTAAATCCTTGTTGTTGTTATTTAAGATTAGCAGTATGTAAAATAAGGGATTTAATATGTTTAACATGTTGTGAATCATTCAGCACTTTAAATCTTGTATCTATGAAACACTTTAGCTATTTGCATGGTAATGTAAACATTTGAAAAATTAGTTTTTCACTGTTAGTAATAAGAATTTTTAAAACATTGAACTTGAGCATACGTGTATATTGTATCATTAATAATTTCTTTTGATAGAAAATGCACACAGTTACTGGAAACAAGAATCAACATACCTCAGTTCTCTTGAATCTATACACTGGTTTCATTATCTGTCAGCATGCTTGGAAACTACTCTGAAGATTGCTAAAAGCATGGCTAGTAAAAAAGACTCTGTTATCATAAAAGGTGGGAATTGAGATAGTTTTTATTCTATTAGCATAACTATCAAACATTAGTTTAAAGACATTTGAGCTGACTAATAAAACAAAATTTGCTATTACAAGAAGTGACATTTCAGAAAATCCTTATAAATTGAGTAGTATGGGAATTTTTGCCAGAAAAGTAGTAACTGCAAATACTGTTAATTTTTTATTTGCTTTGATTGTACATACTTATTGTCATGAAATTTTCTGAGTTAAAAGAGTTCAGATTTGTTTTTTAAAACATGAGCTAATGAATCAGTGTAATTAGACATAAAAAAGCATTTTCACTCTTTTTATTACTGATTTTTATTGTAATTATTTTAACTTTGTTTCTAGCACTGAATCAGTGTTTGCTGAGCACTTGTAAAATCTAAGATTCTTGAGAAAATTCTTATTACATGCGTGGCTAAGTTTGTTAATTTATAAAATTTTGATTTGACTATGGTTTATACATCTTTTTGTTTAATATCTGACTTCTTTACAAAATCTCAGGTTGAAATTGACTATAATGAGGAACTCTCCAGAAAATCTCCCCGGGGTGGGAGCACTAGTGATGAGATTGTCGGGTTTAGTTGACTGAGTAGCAGAATAATTATTTTCTCAGCATTGTGTTCATGATATTTTATATTTTACGAGACATTTTTTAAAAATATACCAGAATGGACTGCAGAAACAAGATTTTTGAGTATGCTGATTTACTGCTTTATTAACATTGTTTCTGTTTTGTGAATATGCTTTTTACCCTGTGGGTGGGATCAAAGCGTGCATGCGTTGACCTTTTACAGAGTGCCATTAAACATGGTATTGTGTATTTAGTGTCAGCTGTCCAGTTTACCCTACATTGGTTGATTCATGTTGGAGGATAGTAAATACCAGATACAGTATACAGAAATACTGAAAAACCTTAGGTATGCATTCAGGAAGTTGTAGATGTTTTGCAATTGCAATATACAAACTGAGTGATGGAGTAAACTATTTGTATTTGTCACATGAACATGATTTTTCACTCCAACTTGTCAGAGTCAGATTAACGTCATCAATTCACAGACATATCTTTGAGTACAAATACTTTTGAAACACATCTGATTTTGTACATTTAACAAAAAGTTTACCACATTTCCTGTAAATTCAGAATTGTAGTCAACATTTCTTCTCCAGTACTAACCAACCCTGTGGTTAAGTTTTTTTTTCAAATATTCTTTGTAATAATTTTTATAGTCACACAAAGATCTGGTATGACTTGGTGCTCATTGCGTGCAGAATACAAGGAGTTTGAAATATTTACTATGTGTGTGTTTCTATTCTTTCAACTGCAGCAGGAACAATGTATGCGATGTGTTTATTTTGTTCACCAAGCTTAGGCAAGGTATAAACCTTAACTTTCTGATAACAACTGATTACTGTTTATCCTTGTGACATTACAATTTTCTTTCATTTATGTAAGAATACAACTTGAAAAATTTATATATTTGTTACCTTTAATGTTTTATTATTTTTAAATTAGCAACTAGTTTAATTTTTGTTTATTTTTCAGTACCACATGAACTTACTAACTACTTCTGTTACCATGTTTTTTATTAAATTTCATTCAATAATGTTCCTCTTAAATAATTCTTTATTTCTTCTTGCATCTCTACGGGTTTCTTTTGTATGCCCTTTTTTCACTCTTATGCTGGAAATACCCATTACATTTGTGAAAATTCTTTTATAAACCAACATTAATACTTCTATTTGTTGGGATAGGTTCTCATGAATGTACATGACCTACAAACATCACTTGATTTTGAGAAAACATTTGGGTTATTAGATGTCACACAAAAAATTAAATATATATTCTGTTTAAAACCTACATGTTTTCCAAGTGTCATAAAAGTCTTATGTTGCTTTAGTCCTACTTATAAAAAGTTGTGAGATTAAATTATGGGTAAAAAAGTTATTATTTTTAAGCAGCTAAGAAATTTTTTAATAAGCACTGGTAGTGAAGATTGTTTTATAAATATAGTAAGAGCAATAGCACTAAAAGTAAATCAATATATAAAAATGCATACTCACCATAGCCAACAAATGTATTTATTTATTATTGTTCTTGTAGAAATTGAACACTTCTACTTTCTAATTTGGGACCTAATTAATAATTTTACTGTATGTTTCCTTTAAATATTTAATCATTGCTAAATAATAGTCCTGTCAGAAGAATAAGATGTGTGTTAAGACTTCTAACATTTTATGTCAGGGTGAAATGTGGAGGTTCTTGAAATGCAAGCTTCATTAAAATAACATTTATCTTCTAAGAGTTAGGGTGATGAAGTTTGTCATGTATTGATATAAATTGCTGTATTTTTGAAATTAAACTTGCATTAAATAAGATTCTCTTTACAATAAAGAAGATAAGACTCATGTTTCATTATATTACATCTCTTATGTTACTAATGTTCCTAAACAAATAGGCAACATTTATTGTGTAGTAAAACATCAGTGAAGATGAATATACATTCAAAAATAGAAGTTTTATTAAATAAGGTGTTTCTGAACGAGGGGTTCAGAACTTGCTTGAGTCGCCAGGCAGTTTTTGGAACCCATACTCAATTGGGAGAGGGGTTTACTGCTCTGTTTTATACTTCAATAAATTTTAGTAGTGCTTCTGTAAACAATTTTAAAATAAGAATATGTTTATGTTTTACTCTATAACCCACCCAGTAAATTCACCTAGTCCAGAAACAAAAAGTCTGAGACCCACTACTCTTAATGGTGGCAAGACTTTCCATACCATTATGTTTAAATTTATAGTATTTTTCTCTACAAATAGAAACTTTCAATGGCATTTCTCTTTGTAGAGTGGGAAGGACGAGACTTGTCTTGTGTTATCTCAAGCTTGGTGCAGATTCTTCTGGATCCATTTTTTAGAACTCAGTATGGTTTTGAATGTTTGGTACAGAAAGAATGGGTTGCACTTGGACATCCTTTTCAAGAGAGACTTGGCCAACTTGGAGTAGAGGAAGGATGTAAGGTTAGTTTGTGGTTTTTACACCAGAGATAATATATCAGTATTAATACTTAATAATAATTAATATACGGTATTAATATTAAGACTTTCCAAGTCTTTATGCTGTTTATACACCCTAAATAGTTTGAATAAGTACAAAGGCTTTACTTTATAATCATATATGCTACAAAGAGTACTTTTATGTATTCAATGTTTTGTTATGGATATCCCTTTATAATTTAACAGTATATGTTCCAATATCAAAATGCTTTATTGTAACAGTTTACTTTCACATCACTTTAGACAAAGTTTACATTAAGAGTTGCAATTCAGAAGCTTTTTCTGAATCCCAGGATTTTAGTGGCAGTTACCTGATGATGGCCACATGAGTGGTTGAAACATTGTAAATTAGTTAAACAAAAAATAAAAATAACCATCCATTCAAAATCTGTAACTCTGGACTTTTATTTAAATAGCTTTGTTTGCTATTAATACTGTTATCTTATGAAAGCTTCAATCAGAACTAGTTCTTATATAGTTCTGACTTTAAACTAGGCAATTAATTAAATTTGCTAATCAATTAATCATTCATTCATTAATCAGTCATATTCAACTAACTGATTATTCTCACATGAGACTAACTTGAAGACTAACTTGCAGCTTGTTTTGTTTTGTAAAGAGATTTTCAAATTATCAATGTTTAATATGAGAGACGTCTTCAGGTACAACAACTTGGATTAAACTACTTTTTTTAATACTAAAAGCTGTATGTGAAAATGTAATCTTTTACATGAAACCTGTAATAAGCTGTAAAGATGATTATTACCATTACTAACCTTACAATTTTTCACAAGGCTGTTTTACTTAAAATTAAGTAAAATAATTTCTCGTTAGCACTAATTTTCTTTAGGCTTAATGTAGAAAAACTAGTAAAGATTTTTGTTACAATGTTTGATAAGTAATATATAATTCAATGAAAAAATTCATACTGATCCTATAAAGGTACAGATGAGTACAACATTGGCTATGTGGCAAAAAACATGCAGTGATATTATATGATGTCTTTGTAATGATTGAAATGATTCGTAAAGTAAATTATAGTCACTGTAATATGAAAAATGTTTTTAGTTACAGACATTTCAAAATGGTTTTCTCATTACATGATTACTGTGAAAAACTAACTAAATAAGTAACAACTTTATAAGTATAAAATATCATAAGCTTTTAAGTGAATTGTTGAGATGGGCAGAAATTTAGAAAGAACATTTTACAGTGCAGGTTGGAAGAAACTGTAGAAACAAACGTGTGTGCTGAGAAATCAATAAATCAAAAAACATAAAGCTTATGTAAGGCGGGTGATGACAGCTGGATGAAATTTTGTTTTCCCTTTTCAGTGCTTCCTATTGATCTAAACCAAGACTTAATTAAACAGAAGTCCAGTTCACGTAAATACTTTAACAATTTATAAGTATTACATATCATTAAACCAGGCCTCGACAAATTCCGGGAGCCAGATCGCCATGGTAACTAAGTATTTCATTGTGGCATGTAGTATTTTCTTCCTTTTTATTTGTGCAGAGAGCTGTGCTAAAAAGAACTTGAATGTAGAACAGTTCTGGACTCTTGGAAATCCGGAACTATTTTCATGTTCTTTGAGTCTTAAATTGAACTATGTTCTTAAGATTTTAATGGCAGATTCAGCACTTCTTCATGTTTTTTCAGGAATGAAACACCTTACAAATTTTATGCATTTTGTTTTTCATCTTTCTCTCAATTCAATTAATCGACGTGCAGGCTTAGACTTGGACGGGACTGAAGGCAGTTAGATCAGGCAGTACCATCAAGTGGTTGTTGATATCAAGTGATTGTTAGCATGCACCCATTGCTGTGAAAGTAAATAAATATACATAGCTGTTTATACACCCTAAATAGTTTGAATAAGTACAAAGGCTTTACTTTATAATCATATATGCTACAAAGAGTACTTTTTTTTGTTTTTAAATAATCCATATACTGGTGCCTGGATTATCCGTGCTGGTCCAGGGAAAGCAAAAAATCTCAGATAACAGAAATAGTGGATAATCGAGGCACTAGTGTATCCCACTAATAAGCCCATTGTTTAATGGAAATAAAATTTTTCAGTATATTTAAGTTCCTTGTTTTAAATTATAATCTTTTTTACTGTTGTTTAATCACATTATCGTGAAAAATTATAAAAGTCATCATAATCATAAAAGCCAAGTGTCAGTTGGTCAGTCATGCTTTATTTCTCCAAAGTTCGTGAGTTACATGAGTCTGATTCCACTTTTTCCTTCTTTTTTAATACTTCCTCTTTTGATTGCCCATTTCTGTTTTATTTTAATTTAATCTCTAACATAGGCATAAATAGCTCCTAAATTTTAGAACTTTTTCTGCTATAGACACAGAAATGCATTCACACCCTATAAGCGTTTCTGAAAAATAAGTCAAAACTTAGTGTAAATCCATGCTAGGGAATTATTACAAAAAGCCTTTGTTAAAACAGACTGAAGATACCAATTATCAGTAGGGAAGCCAATGTGTAACTGAGTGACACCCCAACACAACCTAAATATGCATCTGTGGTTAAAGGATGCCGGCTGAGCAGCATAGAACAGCGGACAACAACTGAAGTTGAGTGAAATCTTTAAGAAACCTTAATGTATATTTTGTGTGTTTTTGGACACTATATTTTTAATCACTAATCAAATAAGGTTAACCAATCTACACGTATTTTGTATTCCTGTCTTAACAGCTTAAAAATAAAAGAGGCAAGGCTAGGCTTGAACCAGCCAACATATTATTTGAAAGCACACCAGATTCTGCATGCAGATTCCACAGATATCATGCAACACCCGAACTTTTGCAATCAAAATTAATTTCTGAGTGATAATTTCTCCAAAACATATAAATTATTGTCTAGAATTGTAATGGCACAATTATTTTGAGAAAATTTGGAGAAAAGAAAAAATCACGGATAATTGAGGATCACAGATATTAGATTATTATTAGTCCATGTCTAGTAGTTTCTGACAAACACAGTTAAATGAACAAATTATTGAACTATCAATATTTTTTTGAGTTAATAAGAATAATGAATACTTACTTGCTCTAACTTGTTTTTACTATAGCAAGCTTACCTTAAGTAACGACGGTTATATATGTAGTTTGTAATAAACAAGCAACATGTTAAGTAATAATATAGGGGTTATTCTATAAAATATTTTAATATTTTTATTTTCCAATATATGGAAATGTTTAATAAGAAGTTGTTTTGCTTTTGGACTACTAAGATAGCATACCAAGTTTGGACTGGATCAGTTAACTCTTTTAGGAGTAGATGCGTTCACAGGCAGACAGAAAGTTTTCCTTGATATTGGATAGTTAGTGCATTGGTATGGCTTAATATTTTTAGCACATATTTGAAGAATGCCTATACCTCAATTTTTATACTCAGCTCTGCCTCACTTTACTTGCCAGAGCTGGATAATCAGAAACATTTCAATTAGTTATATATTTTTAAGTCATTACACTAATTGATTAAGCTTGAATTAATTGCAAATAATGAGAAATCATAAGGAAAATATTTCAGTTACTTAGATAGTTGGAATAATCCAAAACAGTGATGATTGAAAACACTAATTTTATTAATTTGGTGACAAGAAAAATTTTAAGTAAATTTCATTAAATGATAGTTTTACATTACATTAATTGATGTAACCAATTAACCGAGTTAATTGCTCAGCTTTAGACTTCATACATCACCATAATCCAGCAAGAATAGTGGTTCAGTATCCAGAATGTAAGCAATTAAGTTTGAGTACAGGCAGCATTTTACTGACTTTTAATGAAATTTAATCAAGAAATTACATCAGTTGAAAATTTGCATGTCATTTGGTTAAGTATTGCTGCTATCAGAAGAAACAATTCATGAAAGGTCAGACAGTCTTCCAGTGTGGAAAGAGTAAATCCAATCTTGGAAATATCGGAATTCTTTTCTGTAAATTTTTGGATTTGGGAAGCCCAGGATTTCTAAATGCCTTGTACATTTTCATTTTTTTTTTTTTTTGCCTTATGAAAATTTAACAGTACAATTATTCCAGTTTTTTAGGTTTAATATAAAGCATATTTAGTAAACATATTTTCTGTTACGATTGTTTTCACAGAAATGTAAGAAAGTACAATGAAATGAAATCTACAATATTTTTTTCCAGTTTTGCATGTTTTACCCTGTAAAGATGCAGTGTTCTTCTTCTGACTTGTAAACAATGTAGCAATGATTTTATAAAACCTCAGCATTAAGATTTGATTTATCACGTAGCCAAAGATTTTTCAGGAACATCATTTAATTGTTTTAATCATTGGTGATCAGTTTATTGACTATAAACTCATTTAACTATAATTGGATGATTATTGATAAAAAGGAAAAATAATTGTTAAATTTTGAACCCTTACATGGCTGAAATTTAAGAAGGAATTGATGGATGAAAATCATTTTTATTTTTGTGTCTGGTTATTTCTCTCCATCTCAGTCTCCTATAAAATCACAGAAAAACAAACTTTTAATGCCACACTTCAGGCCTTATTGAAACTTTCTTCCTCTTTGTCACACAGTTCGACTCATTCCAGTATGATTTTATTTCATTAACTAATTTTTATAGTTCATTATCTGCACATTATCAGAGCTTGAAAATACTCATGAACTCTGACTGCAGATCTGTGAAAAATGAAGGAGATATCACTCTGAAAATATATTCATTCAAAGAAACTCATTTCTGTGATGTCTGACAAAGCATTTATTTAGAACAGATGTTGTGAGTAATTTCTGTTTCCTGTCTTCTGTGATAGTTCTGTACATAATCATTGTTGTTTTCTCTGTCTACTTTGGAAATTGTCTCAAAAACTTCATAAAGGGATTATAGGGTTTGTACATCTTGAGCTTAAAAAAGACGTATTCCATGGTTTTCTATGACTAAAAATAATTTTTCTATAACATGTACATGAAATACCATGTCATTTATGGTGTAAGTTACTAAAATAGTGTAATATTTTGTGAAATTATGTGTTTTGCATTTTACAATAATATGTTTAATTGGTTTAGTACATTTACACTTTTCATAGTTATTTGCCATGACATGAGAATGCATGGTAGTAGATAGCAAATTAAGTAAGAACATAAATTAATTTTTAAAACCATTAATAATCATCTGTTAGTGCAATTAACCTTAAATGATATTTAACTAATAATTTGGATTTACTTCGCCAGTTTGTACACAGTATTGTTAATTCAGTGTTGTATGAGAAACTGTTAAACTTTGGGCACATCTAATGTTTCAATATTTCAATGGCAAAAACTATTAACTGACTTCCATTCTGTAGAATGATATAATGAAAACTTAGGTTCTAGGATTTGATGTAGAGTTAATAATACAGGTGATTGGTGTTTTCTGACTTAATTATAGTAATCATAGGTTTAACCTATGATTACATGTTCAGTAGTAGAAAACTCAAAATTTTTACTTTTATTGTTATATTTAACAATTATGTATAGGGAGGCAGCTTTCACAAGTGAAATTTTTTGAGATAAGAATTTTTATGTATGTGTGAAGAGCATTTCACATTTTTATGGTAGAGACATAGGTGGAAGAGTTTCGTTTTGGGTATAGAAATCTTGGACAGGATGGAAAAGTCTTGAGATAAAAAAAGCAGAATAAAAATAATTTTGAGAATTTGTTTCTTGGTATTTTTGTTTTATCATTTCATAATTGACTTGTATTTTTAATATACTTCTTTGCCTGTGTTGATTTATTTCACAAACTCACAACCGGTGATGATCGTGCTTATGTTGGCAAAGTAGAAGAGAAAGATTTTTTGTAAATTCTCAGAAATTTTGAGAACTAGTAAAATTTTCTTCTCCAAACCACATAGAGCGTTCATCCTTCGGATTAAATAATAATACATGGATTTTGGATAATTTGAAATTTTCATAATGTAAATGCATGAACTAAATTTATTCGTTTTTAAGAGTAGGAAAATGATTTTACATGTGAAAACTAAAATTAGAGCAACATTATTATATTATTAATTTATGTGGCTTCCTGCAAATAGTGGTAATAACCTTGCAGTTTCAGTCAGTGAAGTGTCATGACCGCAGGTATAGGATGTCATGCACATCTAATAATCATATTCAGCATTAGTTATATATAAATCAGCAATAAGATGATAATAATGTTGTGTTTCCAGTTTGAAAGAAAGCTACATTTACAAATTTGAGTTGTGTGATTTTTACAAAATTTTATTAAGCCCAGATGGTTGTTTAGTAATTTTCTGTGAGTTTTTAAAGATCATATGAATCCTAAAGTAGGTAATAAAGAGGGGAAAAAATAATAATAAAATGGTGGACATTGATTGTTCAGCTAATTAATGACAACCAATTGATTAGGAATCTCCTGTTTTTTAAAATGGCACTTCCCAAGCTTTTTTTGTGTTGTGATTATTTTATTTAAATGTGATTTATAATTTTTTTTTCAATGATATTCTTTTAAGATGATTCATAATGATGAGTAAATTACTGTATCTGTCATACTCAAAAATACATTTATTTTTCAATAGTTAGAATTATTCAAACCCATACTTTTATATACAGTTGTACACTTGATACTTAAAGTAAAGTACTGTCCTATATTAAACTACTATTCGTACACCATTCATGTGACAAGCTAACCGTGCCAGTAATCCATGTAGCTTTTGTAATTCATGAATTTAGTCATGTGACAAGCTAACTATGTCAGTAATCCATGTAGCTTTTGTAATTCATGAATTTTGTCATGTGACAAGCTTACCATGTCAGTAATCCATGTAGCTTTCGTAATTCATGAATTTTGTCATGTGACAGCTAACCGTGTCAGTAATCCATGTAGCTTTTGTAATTCATGAATTTAGTCATGTGACAAGCTAACCATGTCAGTAATCCATGTAGCTTTTGCAATTCATGAATTTTGTCATGTGACAGCTAACTGTGCCAGTAATCCATGTAACTTTTGTAATTCATGAATTTTGTCATGTGACAGCTAACCGTGACCAGTAATCCATGTAACTTTTGTAATTCATGAATTTTGTCATGTGACAGCTAACCGTGCC